AAAAAAAAAAAAAAACCCTTAAAACCGCGTATACAATTTCTGTAATAATAATTATAATCAACCCTAAAATTTTTAAAATCACATCCGTCATTACATTTTACGCAATTTTTATGTATAAGTAATAAGTAATATAGTTTATAATCATATTGTTCATTTTTACTATTTATCAAATTTATAAAATATAATGTACTCATTACAATGATGATCACTTAAAAATAGTATCAACTCGTCAGGTGTGGGTCGACCAACAGATTAGTCGAGGCATAACTCCGAATACCGTGATGACTGGCTACCAAAAAAAATAGTATCAACTCATATAACTTAACAATAATTTATTTTCCACAAAAGCATACAAGATCAACAATTTCTGTATTTTATATCTCAGGTCGAAATAAACCATACCCCATGAATAGTAAGTTGAGGATTTCATGCAACATCTCAAGCTTTTCACTTAAAAAAACCACCCCCACACAATATCTTTTATTTCTCTCTAAGTGCAAGTAAATATAATCTCCAAGATAATTGATCAATTCTATAAGTAGAGAATACAATCTTCTATATCAATTACAATCCCATTACTACTCCAATTCAATTTTCTTGATTATAAGGTATCTATAACACACAATTCTTCATATATAAATTAAATTAGCTTCATAAGTAGACATACGTAGAATTATACAAAACAATTCCCAGTGGTGTGCTCACTCGCCATGGATAATACACGCATTTTCTACCTGATGATGATGATTGTTCATCTTTTCTTCTTCTTTTCCGTTGGCATATGCAAACAGTTCGTGGTGACCGATTTTGGTGCCGTCCCGGATGGAAAAACCGACAGCCGGAAAGCCCTCGAGACAGCGTGGCAGAGAGCCTGTCAGACGCCAGGCGGTTCGGTTTTGGTCCCGAGGGGGAGTTTTTTCGTGAGCATGGCGGACTTCTACGGGCCGTGCAATGGGCCGACGCTGTTCGAGCACCGTGGGACCCTCGTGGCCTCGGCCGACCCCACGCTCGGCGAAAGGGACCATTGGATCACCTTTGATGAGGTGGACGGGTTGACAGTTTTCGGGGATGGCGTGCTTGACGGAAATGGGGCCCTCTCCTGGTCACGATGTGGCGGCTTGGCCCGTTGCAGGCAACAGCTGCCCCCGGCGGTAAGAATCCGTCTACCGTGGCTAAATGTGACAAAATTACAATATTTATCTCGAGGATATGTTTCTGTTGTGTTTTACTTTTACCATAAGTAAGTGTGACAAAATTACGATATCTAAATGCACGTTTTAGGAAAAATTGCACATTTTGTGCACTATATTTGTTCTAATTGCACTTAATGTCTTTTATTTGTTCCTATTCTAAGTTTGGTACACTATCTTGTTTAGACAATTTTGTTCAAATTGAGTTTTTGACCCTCATTTCAGTAGGATAATGTTGACGTGGCGCCCGTACTGTCGAGTAGACAAATGAACTTACATAAAATTATTAAAAAAAAATCTAAATAGAAAAACATAAAATAATAAAATAATAAATCTAAATGATGTTTTGTGTTTGTGTTGAACAGACGTTGAAGATGAACTACGTGACCAACTCCATGGTCCGCGGCGTGCGCCTGATAAACAGCAAGATGTTCCACGTCATCATCTGGGCCTCGGACGGCGTGTGGGTCCGGGGCGTGCGCATAACTGCCCCGGCCGACAGCCCCAACACGGACGGGATCCACATCGGGGACTCCAACAACACCCGAATCACCGGGTCCCGCATCTCCACGGGGGACGACTGCATCTCCATCGGCGAGGGCTGCACGGGGGTCAACGTCACCCGGGTCCGTTGCGGGCCGGGCCACGGCATCAGCATCGGGAGCCTCGGCAAGTACCCGTCGGAGGGCGGCGTGGAGAGGGTCCACGTGCGCAACTGCACGTTCCTCGGGACCGAAAATGGGCTTCGGATCAAGACGTGGGCCCAGTCCCTTTCGTCCACGGTCGTCTCGGGGGTTGTGTACGAGGAAATCGAGATGCGTGGGGTGGGGAACCCAATCCTCATCGACCAGTTCTATTGCCCGGGCGGGTCGTGCCAGCCGGGCGGGGAGTCGAGCGTGGAGATTCGAGGGGTCAAGTTTGCGAACGTGTGGGGGAGCTCGGCATCGTTGGCCTCGGTCAGCCTCAAGTGCAGCAGGACTCACCCGTGCCGGGACATCGAGTTTGTCGGGCTAAACCTGACCCGTGGGGGACGGCCGACGATTGCTCTGTGTGCCAATGCGGATGATAGGTTTGGAGGGTCGGGTCAAATTCCTTCTCGTTGTTCCTGAGCTGGACAAGTTTTGTTCATGAGTCATCATAATTCATAGGTTTGCTCGGCTAGCTAGATATAAGTTTTAGGTTTGTTTAATTTGGTTAGATTGAAATGCTAGTTTTATTTTGTTTTCATTTCTTGTGCTGGAATCAAATTGGCAATTTAGAGTGTTTGATTTGGTGAATCGCAAATGTTATCCTTTGGTCTCATTGTGCTTGTTTGTCCTGAAAAACAAATAGAAAGTGTCCCACACCCGAAAAATATTTAAAAATATATATATATATATATATATATATTCAAATTGGTACTAAGAGTTAAAAATAAAAATAAAGGGTAACAAATGAATCTTTGCCGAATATTAATTATTTGATTAGCTGATTGAAAAGAAAGATTTCCCAATTATCTAATCTAATTGAGATAAAAGTTAGCATAAATGTCAAAATTTTCCCTCGAAAATACGGTTGTGGCCCGGCCCAGGTAAGGTAAAAGTTTCCTCGATTTTCGTAGTTATTTAAAAAGTTTCCTCGATTTATAATTTCGTAGCTATTTATTGGGAGATGCTGCAATTCATTATGGAACGATTTCGTTTAATTCGTAAATGTTAGATAATCATGTAACTTCTATAACCCCGGAGCATTTTCCGTATTTAGAACTAGTAGTTTTGTTATATAATTGATAGATCAGTCAAATCGAATTTAAATTGGATCATATACCGGCTCATATATACTTATTTAAATTTATGTAATTTAAATAATTGGACTTTATTTTTACCATTCTTTTCTGGTGTTTTGTTTTGAAGGTGCATCAATAATTGGTTTTTCCAATTTCGTCAACAATATTTATTATCACTATTGATTTTTAATAATATAATGGTTTTAAATGTTTTAACATTTCCTTATTTTTAAGTATAATCCACTCAAATCTTGTTCATTAGAGTATTATTAATCTTTTTTTTTTTCACAATTTGCAGTTTTTTCTTATGTACAGTACCCGGAAATCTATACTTATTTAAAAAGGTATTATATTTACTAGAATCAGTAGTAAAAAAAGTCAAAAATAATTAATGCATTTTATTTTCATCAAGTATTTTATTTAATTATTTTAGTTAATTGTTTTATCTCATAACACATTTTCAATACAACTTACCATGATTTTTCTATTGTGATTAAAAACTAAATTTACGTTTACAATCTTGTGAAATTATTATTACTATTTTTATAAAGCACATATTATTTGTTAAAAAATTGTATATATATATAATACACATCACAGTACTATGGTAGATGATTTAAATTTCAACCGACCAAAATGCCAATGATTTAAATTTGAACACACTTAAGTGTTTTGACCAAATGTCTGGATGATTTGAAATTGAGTCCATAAAAAATTATTTAAATTCGAACACACCATAAATTTTATGTACTTTTTATTTATAAATATATTGAAAGTGGTATTTAATGGTTGTTATATAAACTATTTTAATATACTAGTACGTACCCCGTGCGATGCACGGAACATATATATTAAATGAGTTATTTTAACAGCCTTGTCCGTTTAAATCTTAAAAGTAATAGTGTTATTATCTATTTTCTACCTCTTTTAATCAACGTTATGTCTAAAAAACAATAAAGTAATAAGCTTTTTTTCATATCTTTTAACCAACATTGTTTTTTAGCTAGAACATTAAATATGAATATGTTAGGGCTAGCTTGTAAAATAATTAATATATTATCTCACTAAAATATTTATACTAATAAAACTTAAATTTTAGTATATAAATTTATCTCTTGATATAAGAAAAAGTAACAATTTTATTTATTCTTGTTCATCATATAATAGTTAATTATTATTTTATTATATAATAAAAAAGAATAGTGTTTAAAAGTTTTTTTTAACACAAAGATAATGTTAAAAAATATAAATATCCATACAAATATACGAACCAAGTTTTTTTAATAGTTTTTTATAAGTTTTATAAAAATATATTATAATTTGTTAGTGTATTATTCAAAGTCGTAATATTGATTTGTAGTTTTTAGAAACAGAATTTTAATTGTTTTTGCTCAACCCATTTTATGAAATTTTTTATGTCAAGATAAAAAGGATTAAAAACAATATGTAAAATAGGAAACTTGATTATAATTATAAATGCATTAATTACTACTTGATAAAATTAGAAGTTCATTAATTAAAGTTGACTTTTCTACCTACTATATTTAGTAAATAGGTTTCCCTTTAATATAAGTATAGATTTTCAATGAATAAATGTTTGAATGAATAATTTGTAATGTTATTCATAATGTTTGTGACTTATGAGACACGACCACATAACCCCATACATATTTGCCAGATGACGGCTTAATAATTTTTTAGACTTAATGTTGATTAAATGAGGTAGAAAATAGATAATAACATTATTACCTTTTAGACTTAAACGGACAAGACTGTGAAAATTACTCATTTAATATCTTTGTCCCGTGTACTACTAGTTCCTATA